TTCCTTCCTTCCTTCCTTCCTTCCTTCCTTCACAGTGGTTAGAATGCGTTATTGCAGGCAGTTTGAATCTCACCAGGCTCAAGGTTGACTCAGCTTTCCCTCCTTCCCAAGTGGGTAAAATGAGGACCCAGATTGTTGGGGGCCAGAGGCTGACTCTGTAAACTGCTTTGAGAGGGCTGTAAAGCATTGTAAAGCAGTATATAAATCTATACACTGCTACTACGTTATGGCTGCTGTCCAATTCCAGGGAGTCAGGCAGGGTCATCTCCTCTTTCAGCTGACTTTCTTGTCTCACCTGCAAGGATTTTGTTCAAGCTTCACCAAAACTTTTTCTCTCTCTCTCTAACACGGCAGCTCCATCAAGGGATGGTTCAGCCCGTATCACCGCAAGCATCAGTTTGGCAACCCACGAAACATGGAAAGTTTCGGCAGCAAAGTGCTCAAGTGAGTGGACAGTGGGGTGGCTGGATCCCAGAGGGGGGGCGTCCAGAAAACCTTCCCCATCCCGGTTCCTCTCCCTCCCCATGTTTGTGTAAAAGGACAAATCTTCCCCCTCAGTGGAACTTCCCTATCAAATTCAGTTCGTTCCCCAGACCAACTGCGTCTTCCAAGAGCTGGTCCAGAAGTGGATGCAAAGAGAAAGGAAGACAAACAGAGTGGAAGAAACAGTCTGTCACTGTATGAGAATACATAGAATGCCCAGAGCAATGGCTGGCTGGGGAATTCTGGAAGTCCACCAGTCTTAAAGCTGCTAAGGTTGGAGATCCCAGCTCTTAAGAGGCCGAGGGGCCCGTAATGGCACAGGGGCTGGGCTCCCATCTCTGGCTGGCTGCCAACTCTCCCCCCCCCCCCTCTGCCCCAGGCCTCCTGCAACAACAACAACCACCCGTCAAATCCAAAACCCGTTTATTTTAGTTCAACGGCTGTGAATTATCTTCGTTCACTGCCCGTAATGAATCTCAGCCAATTATAAATAGTCCCACGGACATTTGCCAAAGTTCTTCGGGAGAAGTCTGATAAGAACGCACCTTTATCTTACTTGAAGTGCTGCCAATTAGTCTTTCAAAACCAAACGGAGCACAAATTCAAAACCGACCAGAGCAAACAACGTTGCAAAGGTTCCTGTCCCCTTGCACTTCCTTTATATCACCTCCCAGCCTTACTCCCGAGTTGCCGCTTTTGTCTCAGCTGCTCTCGCCTTCTAGCAGCTCTGCACACAGGCGCACTGGGAACAGGCTCCCCTTGCTCCTCTGCCTCGCTGCTGCCAGAATCTGGAGGCTCCTGAGGCAGCACATAACTCCCAGAGGGTCCTGGTCTCATCTCTGCATCGGACGCAGGACCATCGTCCAAGTCCTCCCCAGACTCCCGGACTGGTTCCTGTTCTTCCCCACCGTCCGATTCTGCTGCCGTCTCCGCAGGCTGCCAGCAGACCACAACACCCCCAGCCTCAGCCAGGTATCCCGCTCTTTTCTCCCCCCACCAGAGTCCACGAAGAGTGGGAGAGCATCATCCAGACGCTGCGCTCACACATGGAGAGCATCTATTTCCCGGACACCGTGGAGGAATGGATGGAGGAGAATGTCAATCCCCACATGGACCGCTTGCGCGAGTTTGTCCGGGACTTCAAAGAAGTCATCCGCCTGAATGCCCGGCCCAAGACCCTCTAGGGAAGGGCCCCCTCCCAGGCACAAAGGGGGGGCCCATCCGTGGTTCAGTCCAACTTGGGTTTTTTTTTTTAAAACTTGAAAGAACTTGAGGTTGGAATGGGGGGGGGGGGGGCTTCCTTCCAGGACAGGGTTTAGTGCCTCTTTTAGCTCTGGGCCACCAAACTCCGTTTCTGGCCAGCTTTGATGGATTCCACCCCCAGGTTGGCACCTCTCCTCCCTCCCCCCGCCCCAGCGATGGTGAATCTGTGGACCTGTTTGGAGGGGGAGTAGTAATTCTTGGAGGGAGGGCGCTTGCTGGAGTTTTGGTCCTGGTTTCCATCCCATCCCATTCCTTTCTTTTTCTTCCTTTTCAACGCTCTCAGGACTGGCACTGTTGGTAGTCTGGCCTTCCACCCACCCACCCCCTCTAGTGCTTGCTCCTGGGCAGAGAAAGTGCCACGGGGAAGTGGGGAACGGCTGTCACATTTGGACAGAGACGGAGGTGCGGGCATTGCTGAACGATGCTGAAAAGGACAAAAGAGAACGAGAGCGTCCACCTTTCCCACACCCTCCTTTGAAAGTCCCTTGTCTGAAAATGGGTAGATTCACTTCCCCCCCGCCCCACTTGAAACTTGGTCCATTCTCATCTTTCGTAGGTTACAAGCTTCTTCCTTTCGCTGGGGGACAAGAATGACAACGTTTGCTCAGCTGTGGGCAGGATAGAGCAACGGTGGCCTCTTGGAATGGAGGCCACAAACTGGGGGGTGGGGGAGGGGCTTTGAACCTTCCTTCCGAGACAGCAGACCAGACAGAGGCTGGTTCCTTGGTGGCCACCCAAGTTCTCCAGAACACGGGATCAAGGAAGCAGCCCTGCGGGTGGGGCAAAACGTCCAACCCACGTCTTGCTGCTGCCCCCCCCCACCCTATCTGGCAGCTCCCAGGGCCTCTTGCCCCATGCAGAATTCAGCTTGCAGCCCCTCTAGCTAAAATCTTCCTGATGGTGGAAAGACTCGCGTGTCCTCGTGGACCGTGAATTTGTTTTCTCAGGGAGCATGTAAAAAGGACTTTCCCATTTGCCACCCGCCCTAGTGTCGTGGTGAGACCCTTCCCCTTGTCTCTGGGGAGGGGAATTTGCAAAGGCAGTGTCCCCCCACTCTGCCATCCAGTCCTCCGGCCGAAGGGGAGGGGGGTGGTGTGCATCCTTTCTCCTGCTTGCAGCTGCTTTGTCCCACAGTGGGGCTGGCTCACTTGGCTCCCGGGCAGCCCAAGAGATTGGCAGGCATGTAACCGAGCTCCCCACAAGGCGCCAGGTGGAAACCGGCAGGCATTTTGAAAAGGCAGGTGAGGAAGCAGCCAGGGAGGGGAGTGCAGCAGCTAACAGATAGCCTTGCCAGGCAGGACACCCCCCCCCTCCGGGGAGTCCCTGCTGGTCCCTGGATATCCTGCCCTGCTCCTCTTGGCTGATGTGCAGCCCAGGGCAAGGAAGGGGGTTGGCCCAAAGTGGGTGCCTCTTTGCTCTGGTGAGCCACCGATGGCTTTCATCCTAATCCCGCCTTGCCTGGGTGTCAGATTCTGTGTGCAAGGGGCCCAGAGCTGCTGTTTGGCGCCTCCTGAGCTGCATGTAAGTCTTTGGCTCCTGTAATTGCGGGGCAGACGTGGAGGGTGAGGTGTGGATCCCCCTCGCTGTTTTCCCCAAGAGAGGAAGGGGGGAAAAAACCTGGGCTCCCCGGGTGGTCTCTGCCAAGGAATGCAGGAGGAGCTGGCTGGCCGTTTCCCCCTCCCCAGAAGTGCAGCTGCAGGGTCCCTTCCCACCAGGAGAGGCTCTGGGGTTGCCAACGGACCTGTTTCATAAGACGGCCTCAGAGTTAGTTGCTGTCGTGAAGAGTTAATTGTACAGGAGAGTTGCTGCTGTGGTGCCCAGGACAATAAAAGTATTTTTTTATAAAGATGGGCTCCTCTGTTGGCAAAAGCCGGGAAGTTTTGGGGCTCAACGGGCAGGAATTGCAGGACCTGTGTTGACCCCCACCCCCCCCAAAAAAACTCCTGGTTCAAAGCAGGAGGAACCGTTCTTGAGGAGGGGAGGGGGTTTGCATAGAGCTTCCAAATGAGAAACCATGTTATACGAATGTTCCTCTTGAGAAACCATGTTATACGAATGTCAAAACAACCATTTTAGATTTTTAGAAAAAGCCACACAACCATTGAGATGAATCACGGGGTAGTAGCAACCTATTCAGGTGGTGAATAACGTCGCACAGCTACACACACATTGATCCATTGGGAACAACATCTGTAAACCGGCTAGTCTGAAGTGTGGGTTCGTATAGATCAGCTCCACTGTGCAAAGCCGTGTTGTGTGAGCTCAGCTCTTGTGGTTGGGCAAACTCGACCAGTTGTGGTTTACCAATGGAACGTGGCTCGGCATGAGTCCTAAACCAAGGAATTAGGTGCCCGGGTAGAACTCAGCTATTCGTAGTCTGTGCTGAAAGCTCATTTTTCTGTAGCTAATAAGCAGGTTCCTCTAAACCGACCCCACCTTAAGAATGCAGAAATATTTGGGGTTTGGAGTTGGTTTCCATCTTGGCAGGCCCAGGAAGTGCCTTCAAATTAGGCACTTCTGCAGCTTCCCTGCGATTGCGCCAGAGCCGAGGGCCCAAGAGGTTTCTTGCTTAGCGGTTGACTTTCCGATAAGGAGCTGATCTGGGCCCAGAAACAATATCCGTTGCAGCCTTGCATTGCCGCTGCCATTTGCCAATCGGGGGGCAGCTGATTGACGCAGAGTTGTGTGTCTGGCTCCGGTGGCTGTTTTCAGCTCCTGGGATTTTGTCCTCCTGAATTTCAATAGGAAAATGAGGCCAGAGGCCCTCTGGTGAAGGTGCCCAGCCCTTCCCTAGTTTCAAGCTTCCCCAAAGCTACCATAATTTTTATTTCAATGCCTCCACGCTGCAGATTAGGACGGTAAAGTTTCCCCTTGCACGTACGTGCTAGTTGTTTCTGGCTCTAGGGGGCGGTGCTCCTCTCCGTCACAAAGCCAAAGAGCCAGCGCTGTCCGAAGACGCCTCCGTGGTCATGTGGCTGGAGGACTAAACGCCAAAGGCGCATGGAGAAACGCTGTGACCTTCCCACCAAAGGGGTCCCTGTTTTTCTATTTGCATTTTTTACGTGCTTTCGGACTGCTAGGTTGGCAGAAGCTGCCGGGGCAAGGAACGGGAGCTCACCCCGTTACGTGGCGCTAGGGATTCGAACCGCTGCAAATTAGCACTTGCCAATTAAGCCTTGGAACAGACCCCCAGATGCCCGCACTGTGTCTGCAGCTCCTAAAGTCGGTCAGGATCATGTGGTGGTGCCCTTGGCCCTTGAGAAGGAGCAAAGGTTGGCCTTGAAAGAAGCAGGAGAGCCTTTGAGCTTTGGAGATCTTGGAGAAAACCAAGAAAACAAACCTATGAATCATTGATCACAACGACCCAGATTCTCTCTCGAGGCACCGATGGTCAGGCTCAACCTCTCATATTTAAACATGTTCTGTGCCAGACTGGCTCCCTTGAGAAATCTCTTAAAGGTGGGAGGAAAGAAGAGGAAGACAAGCAGGAAGATGGATAGATTCAATTACCACTGCAATTAATTTGCCGGGATAGCTAAAAGTTCAGGTCGAGGACAGATCAGCCTGCTCCTGAGAAAGTCGGCCTCTGTGGTTGCTAAGAGTTAGCATCCATTTCAGGGCACCTAGTTAATCAGTCAAGCCTGACTTTCCATTCCTGGTTTAATATATATATATATATATACTGTGGTTGCCAACGATATGAATGAAAAAAAAATAAGTGTTTAAATGCAGGTAAAGATGAGCTCCTGCCCAAGAAGTTACTTTAAAATATTTGAGCATACTTGAAAACTGGATAAAAGTTACGTTTTTGAGTACGTGCATTTCCATTCTAGTTGGTTGGAGTCATTGGAGGTGCAGGGAAGAACTTCAGGGGACCTCCAGGGATGGGCTGACGGGGGTTCGCAGGGGTTCAGGAGACCCCCCTAGCTAAGATTCTGTGCAGTTGGGAGAACCTGCAAATCCCCCTCCTGGCTGGCCCCTCCCACCCCTCCCAGGGAGTCCCCACACGGCCCGATTTGGATGCAGGTAAGTGCAGGGCGCATACGGAGGCTCAGGGAGGGTGAAAAATGGGCCTCCCGGAAATTTGGGAAAGCCCATTTCCAGCTTCCAGAGACCCTCCGGAGCCCAGGAAGGCCATTTTCACCCTCCTGGAGGCTCAGGAATAGCCTCCGGAGCCCAGGGAGGGCAAAAACGCTTCCCCCCCCACCCGCCGTGGTGCAGGAGCTGACTGACTAGGCCGTGCCCAGGCAGCAACTGGGCCAAGAATCCTTTGCTAAAAATGTGAAGCCCACCCTTGTTACCATGGTCCCAAAATGATGCTAAGATTCTAGAAAGAGTGCAGAGAAGAGCAACAGAGACGACTAGGGAACGGGAAGAATGGTTGCAGGAATTGGGCATGTATAGTGAAAAGAAGGACTAGGAGTGACCGGATAGCAGTCTTCCCACATTTGAGGGGCCCCCACAGAGAGGAGGGAGGGGTCAAGTTATTCTCCCAAGCACCTGAAGGCAGGACAAGAAGTAACAGATGGAAACTTATTAAAGAGAGATCCAATCTAGAATTAAAGAGAAATATCCTGATAGAACAATTATCCAGTGGAACAGTTTGCCTCCAGAAGTCGTGGGTGCTCCATCAAGAAGAAATTGGACAATCATTTGTCCAGAATGATACGGGGTTTTCTGCTTGATCAGGAGGGTGGACTAGAACAGGGGTCAACCTTTTGGACCTCGGGGACCACCAAACTCATAATTTTAGATCCCAGGGACCACTAACTGGTTCTGTGGGTGTGGCCTAATTTGTGGGTATAGCTTGGTGTTCATGTGACTGGCTGGGCACGGCTTGTATGTAAATATTATAAATATTTATATAAATATTGAATTTTTTATAAAAAAGAGAGCAACTTTTACCCAAAATCAGGCAAAGCAGGCAGTCAGGTTGAGTTGCTCTCAGAATCACAGAATCATTCAGAGATCTATCTATCTGCCATTGGCTAGCTCAGTCTGTCACATAAAATTTGCTAGCAAGCAAACTCAACAAAATTAACTCACAACACACCATGTATGTAAATATTGATTTTTTTTTATAAAAAAAAGAGCAACTGTTACCCCAAAGCAGGCAGATTGAGTCGCTCACAGAATCATTCAGTGATCTATCTATCTGCCATCGGCTAGCTCAGTCTCTCAAATTTGCTTGCCGTGAGTCTGCACTGAATTTGCTTGCAAGCAACCCTTCAGTCCTAAGGGAGGTTTGGCTGTACTGAAAGCAGAGCTGAAGGTCTAAAGATGAGTTAGAAAGCAAGAAATCCAACCATTTCCTGCTTCCTAGCTAATCTAAATCTCCCGGCAGAGCAGAACAGATGATGGTCGGAAAAAGGAAAAATAGCAGTTTAGCAGGCAAGTTTACCGGGTAAGGAGTGGGCGGGAAGGGTTCCCGCGGGCCATGTGGGCGGCGCAGACTTGTGTTTCTGCACAGCCTGGATTAATTGCTTTGGGAGGGTGCTCTGGGGGTGAGATTTCTCTGCGGCCCACCAAAATTTTCTCACGGCCCACTGGTTGGCGACCGCTGAACTAGATGACCTCCAAAGCCCCTTCCAACTCTGTAATATTTGCTCAGGTAGAGGAGCAGCCGAGCAGGTAATTCCTCCTTTTCTTCCAGTCCACCTAGGTGGGAGGAGGCCCTACAGGTTCCCCTCCCTCCCCCAGCGAGAAGAGTCTTCCGACTCCTCCGCCGGTTCTTTTCAGCGGCAGAAATGTTGCGCTCGGCCCCCAGGGAAGAATCTGGGTCATTCTCGCACAAGCAGAGCCCCTCCTGGAAGGAGACGCGCCTCTTTGGCACAAAGGTAGCCAGCTTTGTCTCCTGCAGGGAAAAGCTGCTTTGTGGCTGAATGGGGCCAAGTCCCTGTGGCAGATGCTCATGGCTGAATCTGGGCCTCTGGGCCTGCAGCCAGCCTTCCCTGGGCCAAAAAACTGGGCGCAAAGGCAGCCATTCCTTGTGCTTAGAAAGCTCTCGTGCAAGGAGAAAACATCCCTCAAAGCGAACAAGCGCATGGAGCAGTTTTTCTCAACCTTGTCAAGTTAAAGAAGGGCGGCCTTCAACTCCCAGACTTCCCCAGCCAGCTATGGGAGTTGAAGTCCACCCTTCTTAAAGTGGACAAGGTGGAGAAGCCCTAGGAAAGAAGACATGAAATCCCATTGGTGCTCAGAAGGGGTCTTGTTTCCACAGAGGCAGCAAGGAAAATGGGTTTATATTTCTCTACGGAGCGGAGAGCTGGTCTCAGACGGAAAGCCACTTGAAGAGACTAGAAGCATTTGAAATGTGGATTTACAGGCGGCTGTTTTACGTATATAAGTTGGGTTGACCAAATCAGAAATGAGGAGGTGATAAGCCGCCTGGGAAAGCCAAGGGAAATCATCAAAACCATCAAAAAGCAAAAGTTAGAATATTTTGGACATATGATGCGACACCTGGGAAAATACGGCCTCCTTCACTTAATCCTTCAGGGAAAGATTGAAGGCAAATGAGGTCCAGGCAGAAGAAGAACATCGGGGCTTCAAAATCTAAGGGGCCGGTTTGGACAAAACTCAACAGCCCTTTTTCATGTGGCTGTTGATAAAAATAGGATCGCCAATATGATCACCAACGTCCGATGACAGATATGCAGGGGTGGGCGGCTACCGGCTCGCACCGGTTTGAGCGACCTGGATGTTAATTTTACATCTGGTTCGACAAACCGGTAGTTGTAACGACTGGATGGCCCCGCCCCCTGCCCCTCCCCTCCCAGGAGTCTCTACGTAGCCCGTTTTGGATCCCAGGTAAGCGGAGGGCCCA